TATTTTTCTGTCCCTTTAGATTTGCATTTACTTTCACTACCCTTTTTTATTGACTTGTTTATGAGAATACCATAAATACTATTAATGAACCAAGCCGCCGGTTTCGGGTAGCTTGGAAAACTTCTTCTAAACTTGAATATATTTGGACAAACAATGACCTATGTCGTCCACAATAATGTTATGTTCTAATCCATAGAAGAGGGAGACAAACAAATCGAGAAAAAGCTGCGCATGCCCTAGAAAAAGGGATGATAAGGGTGAGACGCGGTAACGCGTCTCAATGTCCAACGAGGTGCGCAAAGTGAGACGCGTTACCGCGTCTCAATGTCGTCAATGTGTTAACGCAGTGACGACAGCGCGGCAACTATGTATGCCGCCATTTTCGCACCACGTCGGACACTGTGGCAACTATGCATACCACACTACTATACTATACCAAATATTCTTTAGTTTGGCTGAGATTTTTCGGACCTTACGGAAATATAAGTCCACTTCTTCTCATTATCAAGCACATAGACGAAAAGGATAATAGAATTGAATGCAAACCTAGTCGCATGGAAAGATATATTTTTCCACTGGAACAACTAAGTTTAAAATAATTGTAGAATCGCTAAGGTGAAAGCAAGTACAGTTTGCCTTCTCGCGGCTTTAACACGTCATTTTGGTCGAACTTCCATTACTGCTACTCCCGATAAGTTAACCACATTGACTGTCTCATACAAATTCTGCATGTTTACAGCCCAAAATCCACGATTATGCGATAATGCGACGGCGCCTTCAAAATCGCGCCAGTCCCACACGGCCAAAATGGTCTGAACGCGCGATTTCGCCAACGTGTAAACGCTCTATCTTCAGCACTACAGAGGCTACAGTGACTTTCTTGTATAGAACTGGGATTAGTGTTTATGACGATAGTACAAAGACTCAGAGGCTTATACAGAAACCATATCGTTGGGTGACAAAGTCCAGGAAGGGCAACTCAGAAGTCACATAGAGATCCGAAAAGGTTTCCAGAATCGTGTGTTATGTGTTCCCTGCGTCCCTGTTGTGTATGGTCTGCACCAGACGCTCTTATCGTTTTTTTGAAAAGGAAGTTATGTAATATTAGGTCGGTCCATAAGTCTTGCAACAAATTACATTAAATGGTTTTGAATTTTTGGGAGAACTCAAGAAAATCCGCAACATATCTCCAGACGTAGCATCAACCTTTGCAATTTCAGCCAACGGTCCAGCTCGTTGTCCGGTTGCTTATTATAGATATTACGCCAATTTCGCCAGAGGGCTCTCGGTGCCCTCAATTTTTACGAGTACTGCTTAGAATGTTCCGCAAATCATACTAGACCAAGGATTGTCCAGAAGATGGGTGGGGGCACGCTCTCTCAAACTACGGTGCAACGGCGCTTCACTCTGCTCAGCGTTGAATTTTTTTATTTGAAAATAACCCACACTCCAACCACCCTGTGACTGAAAATCACGATGCTCTATCTGACGCTGTTGAATAAGGATCTGGATAAAGTATCGATCATTTGCTAGAGCGATTCCGATGCGACAAGGAGACAGTACTGCGGCAGCTCCAAAGACTTGTGAAGATTCGACAATATAGAGTTTGGTCCCCACATGCCTTGAGCCCGGTTCAGCTCCAAACACGATATGACGTCATAATGTTCAATTCAACTTACTATGGATTATACGAATGACCATCCCTCACATTTGGTGAAGATGAGGAGTAGGTACAGTTTGACAAATGAACAAGCGGCGGTAGTCCAGCTCAAACGTTTCGGGAAATCTTATTGCTCAAGTACAACCTCGTCCAAATAGGGACTTCTCGGATTTTCGGTGGAAAACGAGAGGAGGTAAGCTCAGTCAGAGTTTGCTCTTGTCTGACACCGTTGAACCACCTCTTGCTAAGAAATTTTAGTAATATTTTGAGACTCAAGGACGGGGAGTTCTTCCGTATCCACGTTATAGCCCTGATCTCGTGCCGAATAATGCCCTTCTGCTCCTCTCTCCAAACCATCTCCTAAAGAAGAAAGCTCATTCTAACTTTAATGATGTCAAAATCGACATCTAATCTTTCTTCGATCAGAATTCAGTAGAGTCCTGCAAGGAAGGCATCGAACAGCTACTAGTGTGTTGGCAATAGGTTGCAGATATTGATGTGGGTAACATGCTGGATGAACGGAATAAAAAGATAATAAAAATATTAAATTAAAAATTCAGCCAGTTTGTTGCAAGACTTATGGACCGACCTGATACAAAATTCTTGAAGGGAAGGTATCGAGTGATGTGTGAGGCCTCTTCACCGTTCTTCCCTGTGTTGTTAGAGGAGACAAGTTTAGGTAATTCGACCTTTTGCTAAATGTAGTACAAGAGAATAGCTAGTCATTTTTTCTCTCTACGCTGCTGGTAAGTTTGCAAACGTTATCAAGAGCTTTCGTTGCCGACCCCTGTCTTACGACCTACCGCCTCACATCGAGGTATATACGATCCCCTGTCGGAAATTTCCCCGGCCGATTTTCACCATAGCCAAAACCACTTCCGCTGCGCTTTCCCGCTCAATAACTCCATTCGGAGAATCGCTTAGCAAATAGGAAAAGCGGTTTTGGTCTGGCGTCTCAAGGCGAATGCAAGATACATGCCTTTTCATTTGCCGAGAAAGACGTGTTGCCCTTTCCTTGTTCGGTTTGTGAGCGATTTTCACAACGAAATGTAGTAGCTGTTGAATGGAGCGCACGATTTTCAACTCCCGCAACATAAAAATCCCGCTCCAGGCCAACATACGCTTTGTAGTAGCAAAAGAAACTGTTGTATACATGTATTATATACATGTTGTTGACTAAGGAGCGCCTGTCGAAGATTCGCTCAGATTTGCTAGGTCAAGATGTCGTTATATCTATTCAGATTTGGGGTATCCCGAATATTCACGGGGAGTAGTTGGTTGGGATCGAAAGTAGATCCACAGAAAGATGTGCGCAGGGCTTTTGGTGTCGTGGTCATTCCAGCGGCCGTCGCCGGCAACTCCGTCCATGCGCCCATGAACAACGCCGACTTCTCCGTTACCGTGATTAAGGAGAAATTATGAAACTAAATTGGCCAGAATTCCTGACCACGATGGCCAAAATATCCTCCATATTTAGCCTCTATTTCGGAAACCGAGAAGAGCGTCGAGTGCAGACCACACACCACAAGTGACGAGGGTCAAGAAAAATGAAAGAAGCCACGTTTCTCTGGTTATGAGGCAGTGCTCAATCAGCGCGTGAAGTCCAACCAGAATAGCACATACTTTGTCTTTTCTGTGACAAAGCCTTTTGAAGGAAGGAAAGAAAGCAGAGACGTTGAATGGTGTGCATATGCGAGAGTGGAGCAATTCAAAATTATGAATCACCAAGCCTTCTAGTTGACCGCTGCCCTTGGACGCGTTTTTCTTGCCGTCGTCACTTGTGGTGCGTAGTCTGCACTCGACGCTCTTCTCTTTTTACGACATAGAGGGCAACTGCGGCTAAAATCGGAGCAGACAAGGTACATTTGATGAATGAAGTCTCGTTTTCAAACAGTTCATGTGAATAAATGAGTAGCGGTCAAGCATGCTTTCTCACGTGCCCTCCTTCTGCGCAAAAGGGATGGTGCATAAAAATTCAGGTTGACAGGGGCGGGGTCGATTAGGATACTTATTGTTAGCGCGTGATCACGCTGTGGGCGTGACTCGCCTGAGACTGAGTGGCACGCCTACAATTATATATAATCTCGCCTTCAGAAGACCAGAAGTTGTGCAATTGCAGAAATTGACGGGGCATTGATGTGGCATCGATTCAAGAACATCTTTAAGCATACGTGACGTCATCTTTTCATCGAGAATTTAGCCACGTGTGCCACGTGGATTTCTGGCTGCACGAAACAGAGGTTAATTGTTATATTATTACGTCTCGCAAAGCAAGAGACCACCTTGAATCATGGCACTGCATTTGTCCTACTATCGACAACAAACGAGGCTACTCCGTCTCGTTAACAAGTACCAAGAAGACCACAGTTGAACACAGCTGGAGCTAAGTCCAGCCGAAATGGTTGACCAGCCTCTTGAGCGACATCGAAGTGCAGGAATCTCGCAGGCAATAAAAAAGGAAAACGATGGCATGGACGGTTACGTGCACAGTAGGGATATGAAAATGGCGGAAATGACTGCAGCCGAATGGGTGGTTAAAAAAAGCAAAAACTATTTGAATTGATAGCATATGGCAACAATTCTAAATTTTGCTGTTCGAAACAAATTGAACAGGACCTGCGAGAATTGTAAAAATCCGAGGAATTTCTTCTCACTAATGCATGTTCGAATGAAACATGCTCCAATCGTCATGGCTTCGCGCCAGTTGCACCGCACACGAAACGCACCGCCGGCATCGCCTGTCTTCACTAATCCGTCTCCCATGACATGTTGATGCGAGAGTTCTCGCTAAACGACCGCCTCTAGTGAAACTTCTTCACGGTAACAATGAAACGCGCTCCAATGCGAAGACGATGATGCTGCCGCAGGCAAATTTTTGTGTTCATGCATGCATATGGGCTCTTTTGGACGTGCCTTAAGCAAAATTTCCTTGTTTCACAACGTGATGGCCTCCAGAAGTATTTTGATATAGCTACCCACTCCTCACAAAACACAGGAAATCCTTGCGTGTTCTTACGCAGTCGCGCTGACTGGCCGACTTCGTGCTCACGTGTTTGGGCAGCGCATACTTGTCCGTCTGCTGTCTGACCCGCGCAAAGCGTACGCAGAGGAAAAAAGTGCTAGTTATCTCCAGGCGCACATGTAATCATCACTAAACTTTTATATACTGACATTTCCTTCTACCGTTACTGTTTCCTTTTACAGTGAAGCTTCTGTGGTTCGGTAGTATCCCTCATATTTTCTCGTGGTGTGGGATTGTTATACCTCTTCAAAGCACGTAATTTTAACACTATTTTCACTAATGCGTTATCACTCACTTAAGTAACTTTTTCAGGTAGTGATGTCGATCTCAACGATTAGGCGACAAGTAAAAAATGTTGCCTACAATTTTTCAGATGCCCAAGTAAAAGTAAGGGAAGCCACATGGTAGGTTAAATTCTTTTTTAATTCTTTTATTATCATGTCTTCCTTTGTGGTGACGTGGTCAATTGATTGTTTTGTAAAGTTTAACTAGAAAATACCTGAGTTTATTCTGTTTTAGCAATGATCCATGGGGTCCATCAACAGCTCTTATGTCCGAAATTTCGGATCTCACAAATAATCCAATGGTTGGTGATTGTTTCCTCTTCTAATCACTGTATAAATTACCAATGTTTTTTATCTTTTCTAGAATTGCTTTTCTTAATTTCTGCCTTGAATTTTATTCAATCTACGTTTCAGGCCTTTACCGAAGTAATGTCTATAATTTGGAAAAGGTTGAATGATTCTGGGAAGAATTGGCGTCATGTATATAAAAGCCTCGTACTCCTAGATTTCTTGATAAAATGTGGAAACGATAAGGTGAGACTTATCTTTCACCCAATTTTAGATTTTATCATTTGCACATACGATTACAATACCACTTTTATGCATGATCTTCTAGCGTTTTTGTTGGATAACAATATGATTCACATGAGAGTCAGTTTTTATTGTTTCGAAGATAGCAAGTAAAATGAAATGTGACCTGCTCATTAGTATAGAGGAATTGAGAACGATACAGGTATCCCCGAAGAAAGTGATGGCCTTGAGAATATTCCTGTTAGCTTAGCAAGGTGTTATAAGTAAATACGAAAGTGTGAGTCTGTTGTGTGAAAATAGGACATTCGCTGTTTACAACAAAAAAACATTTGGTAATGTCTGCTGAGGCTTCCAGGTAATCGACAAATGAACTTATGGCAGCTCTTGTTGAATATGTTAAACTTCGCAAAAAAAAACAGTTGAAAGAACAAAACATGTCAAAAACTTCATCTCAGCTTCTATATTTTACTGGAAGCTTCATTTAGACGACATTTATTCGAAGTCTTCTTAGTTTTTTTCTTGGATTACTGCCTCGATTGTTTTTCTGAGAGCAGGTGTAACAGGTTCATTTTCCCTTTCGTTAGAGCAGCACGAACAACTGTAGTAGTATGCCTCCGCCCCTTACGCCAGCAGTCCCTTCTCAATTTTTTTTGTTTTTCTTGAAAGTTATAGCAGTTGTGGAGCGGTCAGTAGTTCCTTTTTTAAAGCGCCGTTGAATACCACGGCCCCGTAAAAATTTATACCAGTGCCCTTTCGGACCTGAATTTTTCCCTGTGGTGAATTTTTTCTTCCAGCTATTGTTTATTACTTGTGAGCATATAGGTATCATTATGGCGAAATTTGGAAGCTATTCGATCACAAAGAAACTAAGAAGCTTTGAAAACTGGCTCACTTTCTTAGTTTTTAAGCTTATGTCGAAACAATTCGAAATTTCATAGTTATGCCGAAAACGTTAGTAATCTTGCATAACATTATAACCCATAACGTTGATTTGGGAATGGATCTACTTCAAGTATTTTAAGAAAAGTCACACTTATGGCCGGTTGCGGGGGCCAGCGCCGATTCATTGTTGCACTTGTACACAAATACTTGTAATACTAACAGCAACACACAACGAAATGGCAAGTTCAGCCCATAATTAGGAAGGGGAAAGTTGACTAAAGCAACTTCTGGTAGTATTAGAAAAACCATGCTGTTTCAACATCAATGCAAACATTTGAACTTAATGGTGGCAATTGCCACCGCCAGGGCCGACAGAAAAACGATACCTCAGGCCTCTAGCCTCATGAGCATAGCAAAAGAACGGAACATAAGCGTTAGTTTATAATACTAATCCTACACACAAGACAAAATGATCACTCTTTCCGTGGAAGGTTCCTTTAAGGTGTCGTTTCCTGTGGTAATGAGGGCGGAGCTTTTTCCGTGGAAGATTCCTTTAATAGTAGAAACGCACATATTCATACTCATATTTTATTTTATACTTATATACCTGTGCTTTCCCTTACTGTGGCGGGAATTCCCCATTTGCTGCACACGTAACACGCCTTCCTTTGTGTGTGTGTGGTTTTTTCATAAAATGTTTCATAAAAAATGTTACTTTTCCACCATTTCCTCAAGATTGCACATCAAGTAGATCCACTTCATGCGCAAATGGTACTCCTTGCGACGCCCTCGGCGTAACGCGCTTTTCGGTGAACTAGAAGCGGCACGGCAACGCTTCTGTTAGCCCTCGACTACGCTTTTCGCCAAAAAAGGTTGCTCTTATTTGTATAATGTTGATCTTTTGTTAAGGAAGCCTCTTCTTTGTGGACACGCAGCCTTTTAACGTGTGATCCGCATCACACTTGGACTCTTCTAGCTGGGAAACACGGGGTGGAGATGTTGTGTTCCATCGACCCGTGCTTCATTCAGATTTAAAAAAAGCATAGTGTGTTGGCTTTGCATAGTAAAAGGTCCAAACATAAATTATCAAATTGGACTCGAAGTAGGAATTTTTAAACAAAACTTCTCTTTTCAGAATATTTCGAACAAAGCTTACAATAGTGAACTGAGATAGTGACTGATAAACTTCCAAAAGACACTGCTCATAATGTGTTGTTCCATGATCACCGACTGGGAAATTATGCTCATACCATTTTCGGCGATATCACTCAAATACCTGAAGCGCATAAAAATTGCTTCCTTCAAAGTCTACAATAAAGCTCTCTAAGTTTAGCTTCAGAATCACTGGTGTGAAATATACGTTTGAATATCTCGGCTGGCGTGTGCATGTTTGGGGTGTGGTTCGCAAGGAGAAAAGCGACATTTCCCCTTTCGCAGCGCGGAACTTCATTGCGTGAACCGTGGGGCTCACGCAGTGAAAAGTAGGGGTGGACTTGGGGTCCCCGCTGCGAAAAGCGGAAAAGTCGCTGTCTGTACCAGCGAACCAGATCCGCATGGAGCCCACTCTGAAAACTTCTTTTGAAACCTCAGAGAATGGAAGAGTTCAATATGTCTTGAGGCTATGTGTCATATTCTGGGTTCACAAGAAGGGGAAGTAATCGTAAGCTTTGTGGTCCCTAGGAACGCTCCATCATGCCGAAAATATGCAAGTAAATAGTGGTGGTTCACGTTCGCGCGTCTTTCGATCGATATCGCTCATGTGCTGTTATTTATGCATCTCAGCTGTTGAAGTTGTGCATATTGATTATGTAAATTGGTGCCGAATTTCCGATCAGGACTGGGTTCAGAAAATTTCCAAACCAATAAATTTTATTGTCTCAGTTGTGGAAATTGTCGTTTAGGTGTCAGTAGTAGTGGGAAACACGAAAATAACAATGTTCTTTGTGGAAAATGATAAGGATTGCCTTAAGTATGGGGAATTTCAATTTCAGAAGGATTTGTGGAATCCATTCTGTTGTGCTCTGCTTACATCGTGTATAATATGTTTTTTTTGTTGCTTTTTTGCATCTTTTCAGAGATAAAAAACTGTTTTAAGGTATCACAACAATGTCGAGAAAATATATTTACTATCGAAACGCTCAAGGACTTCCAACATATTGAAGATAACAGAGATCAGGTTTGTCAGTTCACTTCTTCAACTGCTACTTTTCCCAGCTTTTCGAAATCCTTACTGCATTATAGGGCTTGAATATCCGAGAAAAGGCCAAGCAAATAACAGCGCTTTTGACCGATGAAGAACGGCTCAAAAATGAACGGACTCGTTTCATGTTGACAAGAACAAAGTAAGCGCTTGTCAATTTCACAAAACGTTTACGTTAAACGATTTCTCCAGATTCCGGGAAAACAGCGCATTAGGTGGTAGTTCGGAACGTAGGATTCGGCGTTCAGAAACAGGAACAGCTTTAGGTATGTCAGCGTTTGTAAGTAATCACGTTTCTATAATATTTGTGAATTCTTATCCTGTGATCCCTTAAACTTAATGCTCTGCTAAATGCAGCTAAAAATTATAAACAGTAGCTTCATGCAAAGGTTTGTGTTCGAGTGCGAAATACGTACTTTCACTACTACTTAATATTTTGATCCACGAATGTAATGTGGGTATTGTGGCCTTCTCCAAAGCCGAAGCGCTTGTCCTAACCAGTGGGAGACCTATCAGTCTTTTGCGTTGATATCAGAATCATCCGGGTATTCTTACAAATGTTCCAGAACAGCCATCACAAATGTGTATTTAACAACCTAGAGCTGCCCATATGTAGGAGTGTAAGTGTGTGAATAGAGAAAAGATGTTCCCAAGAGAGAGAGAGAGAGAGAGAGAGAGAGAGAGAGAGCAGATACAAGGTTGTAGTAGGTAATTATTCGTCTATGCTTGGAATAGAAAGGAGACCGCAATATACAATCGGGCCAATATTTTATAGGCGTTGAGTAACATATTCACCTTCATGTCAATTTTTCATGTGAAATATATTGAGTAGTAATGTCCGTTTTTTTCAAACCTTCGTAACTTTTCCAAATTACGCTTGTATCGCTCACAGGAAAGGAAGGCGGGTGTAGAAAAGGTGTCGAAACTGCTAAACATATCTGGTAAAGTGCAATTACTGAAAATTAGCTCCTTCGAGTAAAAATGCCAGGCTAACCCTGAGTTTTCCACCAATTTCCATCCTTTTCCCCACCAATCTTTCTTCGAAGAGTTTTCGCCGAGCTGAAAACAGTGGAAACCGGACACTGAAGCATTCATTCACGATATTCTTCCTAATTACATGGAGCGCTTCTAGAACCATTACGTGTCCATTTCCGTTTTCTTCCCCTTCGGCTACGACTGTCTTACGAGCGTTTTTGAGTTTTTGAAAAGTTCCAAATTCTTTTTTTTTCTTGATAGCGCTTATATGTGCCGTACTTCTGCTCCGAAATTTGTCGTGTTTTTCTAGAATTGTGCCCTCTTGTACCTTCTGGCCCACCTCTTGTCTGACCTACCGTTTACATTCTTAGGATGGCTTTAACTGTGGTGGGCGGGCGGGTGAGACTTTTGGAAACTAGATTTCAATATCCTTCGATTCTAATTTGATACCTGAATTCGGCCTCTCCTCCAATTTCGCCCTGCTTGCAAATCTGCTTATTGGCGTTTGCGACACTTTAATGGCTATCTTTCGATTGTGGGCATTAGATCGTTTAGTCGTATCTTCTAATGTCGTCATATCGAATATTTTACTAGGTGCTTTCATTGGTGGAACAATCACTAATTTAGCCGCAAGTTACTCCAAAATCATCGAGCAAAATTAAAGTTTTCATATTTATCTTTTTTTCTGATTTCTCCATTGCCACACTTGCTGCCTCACTTTAACACGTTGACGACATCGCGTGTTTTGGCATTTTGTACCGCGTAGGACACGAACAGTTTTGCTAGCGCGCCGTCCGCACCTAACTTCCGCTTATTTCTTGTTTAAAATGTACAAAAAATTGAATATCACACAATTATTTCGGCGAGGATGAAAGCACAAAGGGTAACTGTAGCTAAACTGTATAAATGGCAGTAGATTTCTGTTTGGAAGACAGCATAATGCCCACAAAGAGGCAAAAAAACATCACTTTCGTTGCGAATGAAGTGTAAAGCATTTCCAAGCAAGTTCTTCCATCGAATACAAATATTTTGAGACTTACGAAGTCTTGTGTTAACTGTTTCTACAATGGTACATGTGAATTTCTACGACAGTGAAAGGAATACTAGGAAAGAATCGAAGTGGAAGTTTTGTGCGTCCAGAAAATCGTTGCTAAATCAAGGGATATTTGAGCACTCTAGCAGCCATGTGGTTTATTGTTATGATAATGTACATCTATGCAATGAATGCAAAAAAAAATTCGAGAGAAGGAACACAAGCACTTTAAAAATGAACAACATAGTTCTGATGCGCATGCGCGTCAGAATATCCGATGCGGTGCGAAAGTTCTGACGCGCTTGCGCGTCAGCCTCTCGTCAACTTGTTAAAGATTCCATCAAAATAGAACAATTGTGACTTACAGGACTTTTCTAAGTAACGGCGGTTTCCTAGTTAGCATCCATGTTATTTCAATTCTTTCGTTCCGTTTAGATCCTGAGATCGAAGATGCTCGTCCATCGTCAATAGGTGAGGAGGAAATGCAATTACAAATAGCCATCGCACTATCCAAGGAGGAGCACGAAAAAGTAGACGAGATGGTGAGAAGCGATGAAGTGCGCCTCCAGGCGAGTGAACTTTTTCAAACTTTTCCTTGTAGTGATCTTGCTGACCATCGAATCCTAATGTTTGTTCTGAGTTGTGTGGTAGTCAGGCTATTTCTTAATAATATACTTTCTAATACTTCGAAATAATATGGAGTTTCTCAAATATTCAGTTTTAAGCTCTGCGGCAAGTCCTAACTTGAAATTTCACCGTTCAAGAAGAACGTCGTCATCATCGAGTCATTATGCCGATACTGTATACTTGTATATACTGACTTTCAGCGCCCCTCCTTAGAGCGAGGGATGATAAGATTAGGTTGGATTCGTAGGCATAGGCAAAAAAGCAAAGAACTCCGTCAAGAACGCCGCAATACGGTACCCCTCTCTTTGCTCGATGACCTCCGATAATGGACGAGCTAGCAACCAACGAAGAAGTCGTTTGCACATGCTAAACCGATAGTGCCATCATACCAACAAAGACCATGTTTTGATTGATAACGAATCCCATGGGAAAGATATAGGATACGCGCTCGATACGTTCGATGTAAATACCATATCTAAAAGCTCAGGGCAGTGATGCTGCTCGCAACACACTAATGGGCGGAGCACAGGCGGCGGAGGCGGAGTTCAGGAAGGATTGGCACTCCAAAGGCGCTGAACTAGCGCGCCCCTGGCCACGAAAAGGCCACACAACGCTTCCTTCGGTTTCTGACTGATAGTAATTGGTCCTAGGTCTGCGTAGCGGAGAAAGTCTGCGAAAAACGAAATATCGCATTCTGTCCTAGCGACCAGCGCCCATTATTGCGTTTTGGTGGCCGTTGCCGTTGTGGATATGAAAGGCATTCCTGAGAAGACTTTTCTGGGGTACGGTCTGTCTGGACTCCGTTGGACAAGAAAGTTTTTCATCTTTGAGCTTGCCTTCATGGAAAAAATCTTTCTCCTCATTTTTTTTATTTTCCAATATAGTGACTGTACGTATCGTGTTTTCCCATTTATACATGACTATCTGTCCTTTTTAATGTCATCCTGTTGTAAACATGGTTCTAATCTTTACAGCTCGCACTGGAAGAATCTCAGCGTGAAGCGGAACGAATGGCGAAAATGGAGCCAAAAACAGTGAACAGCGGTCAGCTCACTCAAAGTGCATTGGATGATTTGTTATCTCTTGGAGTAGGAGAGGTAATTTTGCCTATAACATCAGCAAAGTGCTCGAATAACTTCGGCTACAATTGAGATAGTCATTTCGATATAGTTCACATCCTTGAATGATCTTTTGAATATCTCAAGTGCATTCTCGAGAGCACTGCAATGCATCAGCTTTCTAGAAAACCCTGGTAGCGTTGTTAGAGTTCCTAAAATATATGGAAGCTCATGCGTGCACTCCATAGGGAGGTGGGAATCCATCTTAAATCTTATGCGGACGAAGCAGCTTTTGCGTGTTTTTGTAGCCAGGATGTGGTTCACTAGAACAAAAAGCGAATTTTCCGCTTCTCGCGGCTCGAATTTTTCTTCGCTTGAGATCTTCAGGTCCACTTCTGATCAGTGGTGAACCTGCGGTCCTAGCGAAATTTGTCGCGTGCTGCTTCAAGCGGGAACGCTTTTTGTCCTAGCGAACCACACCCTTCGACCGACGTCATACTTTGCGAATCGAGTGATTCGCTATCGTCGCGTTGCGGTACCAGTCAATCGCGCGTTTCGTTCTCTGCGACACGAAACGGACGCTAGTAAATCGCTCGATTCGCGAACTCTGACATCGGCCTTCTAGTCATGGCCTTGACACGTGTGATCCATTTGCATCGCTTTTCGTTCGTTTCCTGGAAAGTTGTTGTACCATGAGTTGTAGCATGCAAAACCTCTGACGGAACAGCGATGTTCAAAGCACCAACACTGACCCTTGAAAACTTCAAGAAAGTGACACATTCAACAAATTTATCCATTGTGTAAGTGATCAGTTATGTACTGTGATCATTTCTACTGTCACGCTCAGATCACGAGAATGTAATGCGAAGTGATGGAGTGACGTAAGGTAGGCATGGGGTCTGTTGTCCGATGGAGGACCACTGCTGACGCACTTCTTCGCTCTGCTACTAACAGAAGAGAACATGTTTGAACGTGTCTTTATACTGGAGCTCTCAGAAAACTAACAAAAAAAGACATGTCAAGAACTGTGATGTGTTCTGAACAGGATCTGACCCATCTATTGCTCGTACTCTAGTTTCTCCAAAAACATCTAGACAAAACGCCGCTATCGCAAGATACGAGGCTTTCTCTAGGATAGCCTTGGAGGGCATGGGTAGGAACTCCTGGGAAAGTGAAAATTCCTCACATATGGATTCTCTCTTCCCCAAGGCTCGGCGCCGTTTCTAACCGAAAACCAATCGCTTGGCGCGGTTTTACGTGCGTTGCCATCGCAAGATCCGTGCATCTTGGGAAAGCGCCCTATTTCTTAGCCCTCTTTTTCCTTGTAGCGTCTTATTTTGTAGCCTTCTTCCCCCTAAAGCTTCTTACGATATTATGGGTTTGACACGTCCTGTTTTGTTTGCTATTCGAAAGCGTCGCAGCTTTCATACATTTTCTTTCCTTCCCTGCAGATTGTATCAGCAGATGTCCCTCTGTCGGAAAATAGATTAGGCATGAATATCTCAACAATTATTTTTAGTGACAGTACAGAGGGAAAATGAAATATAAGGAGCCATCATTACCAGTGTGAACACTACATGTTTTAGACCAAGCGTTTCCCGAAATGAATTGTGGAGTAGCTGTGAATTAACTTTTTTTTCAGTTGGTAATGAATGATCAATCATCTTCGTCTTCAACTTCTTGGGCTGGTACTGGTCTTGTCGACCCTTGGGTGGCCCCAGCTCCGGCGGATCAACAGACCACTTCAGCTACACTTTATCCAAGTGGTAAGACTTAACATTTCAGTGCTAATTAATCTAGTTGCAAGGATGGGGCCGTTGCCGTCGCTGCGCACGGCATGTTCGTGCCCTTCATTGCGAAGCGAGGAATCCGTTAGCTGGGGGAGTGTAGCCAATTCAAGGGATGTGAGGTGAGGCAAGTCACTTGACATACCTGAAAGGCTGAAGTATGGAAGCTCACACCTTCTTGCAGAGAAGGCGAGAACCTTCTGCCCAACCCCCTCCCCCGCCCTCGACTAAGTGATCACCAAGTTTTCCTCTTCTTCTCGGATGATATTATAAATTGGTGTTAAGGTCAATTAGCGAAGAACGATCCGTGGGCGCCCTCAACAGGAACGACTGTGCCGACTGCGAATACAAGTGTGCCTACATCGACAGCGAGCCGCGATGTCACTTCAGATCCGTTCTCGACGTGGGACCAGCAACTCGAGCAATCCTTCAATACAAATGTGAGCATTTCTTTTTGTGTTGGAGCCTGATATCAGCTCGGTGGTTTCGTGGCTCGGTCCTTTCCCTCGAGTGGCCGATAGTTTTCGAAAAATTGCTTTATAAGTGCTAGCCTACTCCTTAGAGGTATAGTAAATGGCGAAAACCCAATCTTGTAAAAAGGGTTCGGATTTCATTGTGTTATGGAACTGGAACTGCAAGTCTGCTCACCACTTAACATTACTGTTGCAGCCACGATGTTGCTAGCCGTTGAAGAATTTTAATCGATTCAAAGGCAAGAATCAGGATTGAATTGATGGGTTGATCCCACTCAAATGTGAAAGTAGATGGGAGATCGACCGCCATTGGAGAAGAAAGGAAAGGAAATTCTGAAATACGCAGGAAATACGAGCATTTTGCTCTATGCTGTGGAGAAGTTCAAAAGGCCGGCAGGGAGATGAGAGATAATGAGAGCACGGAGAGCGGTAGAGAAGTCCGAGAAGAGAGAGCATAGCAGATCAACGCAGCGGCACAGACAAGATATCGAGCGGTGGGCGGACCATGTTAAGTTTGGTGGAGTCTGTTAGAAGTCCATGGCGTCTAGGGTCTCAGTGACGCGTTTCGATGTAGAAAGATGGCCCCACCTTTGCAATTGGAGTCCAGCACTTCCAGCCACGGAAAGGGCTTCTTACACTCTTCATGCAGCCAGAAATCCACGTGGCACACGTGGCTAAATTCCCGATGGAAAGGTGACGTCACGTGTGCTCAAAGATGTTCTTGATTTGATGCCACGTCAATTTCTGCAATTGCACATTTTCTGGTTATTTGAAGGCGAGGGGAGGTGGATCTGACCCCGATCTTTGCCTTTAATCAAATGCTGTTTCATTCCTATGCCGAATACTCTACTATTCGCCAAGTTACTATGCAAGGCATCCTAAGCCCGGCGAACATGGAGGACCTCAAAGTTTGCACATCCAATTCCTGCGCTACCACCCTTGGCTGATGTTTCACTCAGTTTCAAACATTTGACCTGTTTTTGTTTGTGTCTTTTTTGTAGCAGCTGGCGTCTTTAGATGTAGCTTATCAATTTTAGAGATTTGGTTTGCCTTAGTTGAATCTGAACTAATGTGTGATATCCGGGTCATACAGTTTTAGCGGCCCTTCATGCCATGCTTGATCTCGTCTGCATGTTAAGTAACTAGGTAGTGGTAACACTTTGGACCGAATTGCAGATTTATTTATTTGTCTATTATTTATTCATTTGATTACTTATTTGTTGCAATACACTTGAAGTTATGAACAGTTACGGTGGAATACCACGTAGGAAAAGCAGTGGGACGATAAAAGAACTGCACATGGCTCACCATTTAGTAAAGTAAAAAAAAAGCAGAGTAGTTAGGCGCAGTGAAAAAGCTTGGGTAATTAAGGGGGATTTCACAATAAGTAGAGGACGAAGAAGAAGAAATGTACCAGCTAAAAGGCAGAGGGGCCCCCGTAAGGGTATGGGAGGATGCGCGTCGCGCAGCGAAATGTATGTCTTCAAGTAGCAGGGCCATACCCGCGCCGCGGTACGCCCACCCCACTGCATTCCGATTCAGCGGAGAACGTGAGTGTGATCTCTAGGTCAGTATCGATAAGAGTTGCCTAACGCCCAACCAACGGGCTAAAATGGGTCTCGTTTCTCGGGTCCTGAGCCGTTTCTCATGTTTTTTTTTCTTCATCACTATATACTGACCATCTCTTAGTACGTCATTTGTCATTTTTAGAGACAACACAAAGTTTCATAATAGAAAACTCAATTTTTGAACAGGAAAAAACTAATCAAGCTACTTTTGGGGGGCGATCGCCGGTAGATCGGGCGAAGCCTTGCAGTCACCACTCTTTGAGATGGTGTTATGAAACCAAAAAACAACTGTGGGATGGGCTTTTTTCGTAATAATGTTGATATTTTAGGCAGCGACAAACGCATCATCAAGCGGTGCAAGCTCTTCTGCAACTACTGCTGCTCGAAGAACACCAGAGAACTTCCTTGGAGAGAACAAGAACCTTGTGAACTTGGATAACCTTCTTGGTGTGTCTTCGACCAGCTCTGCTTGTGAGTATTTCTTCTACACATCCGTTGAAGGCACGGTTTTGAAGTTACTCCTGCTTGGTGTGGCTACCACTTATTGCAAGCAGACTCAAGATTGGTCGCATCATATCCCTCACAAAGCTGAGGGAGGGCGGCCACTGTTTCTGCCAGCTTTTTGTGCTTGTAACAGAACGATCACTTCATTGCAATGCCGTACGAATGAACTCTTGATGGGGCCTCAGTCAGAGCCCACATTTTGATTGATCCGTGATGCAGTGGCATGTTCAGCTTGGAGAACAATTCAATGTGATGGTAATTGGGACAAGACAGGAGGCCCGTTGCGCCGAGGATGCCAGAGACGCAGAGGGGCAGGGGACGAGTTGTAGCGCGTGCTATAGCATGTTACATTTAAGTTGGCGCGAAACCACTGCAGTACGCGCTACAACTCGTCCACGATCCTTTTGCGCCCCAGCCTTCTCGCCGCGCTGCGGGCTTCTTGTCGGCTACCCGATGGTGATAGTTACCTTCTACTTCTGTCGCGCAGCTTTCGAGATGAAGATGGGACTTGAATCTTAGTAGTAAGAGTCCATTCGTTCAGTGCAAATACGGTAATTGTTCAGGTGCGAATCCATTTCTTCTCAGTTCTACTACTTCAACTGTAAATCCATTTGCCTCGCAACAACGAAAGTCGCCAACACTGAATGAGATGCGAGCAGCTCAAGCGTCTGGGGCTCCTCCTATTCCTCAGATTGGTCCCCGTGTTGGGACTCTTCACCAAACGGCCCAGCCATCGCAAGACCCCAATCCTTTTGCCAGTCCTTTTTAGGTGAAGCAGTTCCAACTCTATAGCTCTGTCTGTCTTTTGATATCTTTGCTCTTGTTCCATGTTTGTCAAGAGTGACTGTACGGAAATATGCCATTGTCAACGTTAGAGAATCATTCTATTCATGTTATAATGCTGTGCCACGTTCGTTTTAAGATTTTTTGTGATAGCATTCTTCGGTTGGGCTCGGTAAATGATTGTGCAAAATAGCAGAATGGTAACTATTGACTATTGTTATGTTCTCTTTGCTTTTCATATGATCAAGTTAAGGTTTACATGCAGTGCATACTATCAGTGCATGCTTTTCATTAATAGCGTTCGCGCTTTTGCGAAACGCTTAATTTCATTATTGATCCACTCTTCTTTTTTTGCATCTGCTGTGTAAGTTGAAATCGGGATAGAATTGTTATGGTTTACGTGTCAGCCTTTTCGTAGCTCTGAGAAACTGAAATGGTCGTTCCCATTTGACGTCGTGCTTTCCGCGTCTTCTTTTCAGTTTGTTCTTGCGTGTTCATCCGCAATTGTAATTGGTGTTTTTTTAAGGTAGTTTTCATGAGGTCATAGGAGGCATACTGGTTTGTTGGGAGTGCTATGATCTGCCGATTGGGATCTGCCATGGAATAAGGAGTGGTGAAACATAAGGCGCTTGCGTGTATCACGTATACTGGCGATCACTTGCAAAGCTGCTGATGTAATTGTTTTGGAAATTTTCATTCGTTTTTCTTACACAAAGACTTATTGCAACTCTTGGAGTGTAAGACAATAGGTGTCTTATCGACAAATTCGTGGTCAGGCCAATGAGAAGGTTTTTGCTGTTACCTTAGATGAGGGTGTTTGAAGGCTAATGATGCGATTAGATCCAGGACCAGGGTCAAGCGAGGCGTCGAGAGAATTCCGAAGTAGCCCCCCCCCCCACCGCAGGTATAAGTGAAACGATTCTCTTCGCAAGCCGAAGTGTGAAAAAGCTGTTTAACCCTTCTCGGAGCATTCCTTCTAGAAAAACACCGCACTGCCTTATGAGCTCACGATGACGCCCACATATCGATGATGGGCATAAAATATATAAAAACATAAATAACTAATACAAGGGACCGTGTCAAAGACGGTTAGCCCTGGTGTTGTCATCCCTTGCTCATCTCCTGTACCCTTACGCCCATAGGAATCTGCGCATTGTGACGTTGACCTCTGCGCGTACGACCCCCCTTTCTTCCTTCGGCCAAATTCACCCTGGACCAATGTCGGTTGAACCACCAACAAAGAAAAAGTAAGGCGTCGAATGGACGCCTCTCGAAAAGGGTGAGGAGCAGGGTCAACCGTCCGTTGTGCCAGGGACAACGAGGTGTCGTATCGTATCCACAGAACTAGGTGTGAGAGTAGGGTCAAGTGACCCCCTCCCCCTCTCCCCAGTAGCCAAACTCCATGAAATGACCCTCCTCATAAGCCGAAGTATGAAAAAGTTGTTTAGGTCTTCTCGAACGTTTCATCCAAAAAAATCCCCTGCTATCCCTCCCTCTACCATAAACTTCGTACAATAAGTAAAAAAATTCAAAAAGTAAAGTTAGCAGTGAATCCTACTAACAAATAAAACAAAAAACCGCTAGTCATGAAAAACAACAACTTATGACAGCATCTATTTTTCATTTATTTCCATTTGAAAGTCTTAGTACTACACAAATGCTTCTCAATCTACAAGTCTATTGATCGAAAGAACTGTTGTAACCGCCTCAGCCAGCTAGCTGTACATTGATCTTACGAGGTAGGTCTTCCAAGAAATGCCCAGCTTTCTCGAAACGGCTGCCATGATATAGGGGTACGTGCATGGAGCACAGAACTGTAGTTCACTTTTCCTGAGCGGACTTCTGAATAATAAGAAATGGTGATGAGGTGTCCGTGGTTCGGGTCCCTGCAGTGACAATTGCCTTTTGTGTTGGCGTTTCAAAAATCGCGAAAAATAGCTTCAGCAGAAATAACTCATGTCATATCTGTAGTTAGGACGATCAGCAAACTGTATAAGTAGATTTTTACTAAAATGTCTATGAAGAAATAATGACGAAGAAAGTTAAAGGCGAGATTCAAGCTTAAACTGATGAGGTTATTCAACTCAAATGTGATGTAGGGGCGGGAGGGTGACCAGAGAAGAAAAAAGGAAAGAAAATTCTGAAACACACAGGAAATACGGGCCTTTTGCTTTACGTTGCGGAGAAGTTCAAAAGGCCGGCAGGGTGATGGGAGATAATGTGAGAGCGGAGAGCCGTAGAGAAATCGAGAAGAGAGAGCATTGCAGATCAGCATTGCGCCGCAGACAAAATATCGAGCGGTGGGCGTAGCGTGTCGCAATAGGAGGAGCGTGTCAAAGTCCTTGGCCCCTAGCGCCTTAGTCACGCATTTGGAAGAGGAAACTTGGCGAGTCGCTTGCAGTAGCGTTCCATGCACTTCTAGCCACTTTAAGGGTCTATTAGGTGGGTCTGAGCCCGAACTTTGCCTTTAAGAACGGCAGTTCTTTAAGAGGTTTTTCTTTGCATTTTTTTTGGTATGCTGAGGGTAGCTTAAGAAAAATGAACCACAGTTCTATGTTCCATGCACGTACCTCTACAGGGTGTCCCATAAATATTGCACCACATTTCTTTGCTTGTAACTTCTTTCAAAACGGATGTATTTTCAACAAGTTTCACAAGAATTTTAGCTATACAACATTTACATATGGAAAGGACGAGGAAAATTAATGATGACTGCTGTTATTACACTTTCTGAAGTCATGATTTTCTCTAATGTCATTAAATCTGGTTGATCTTTCCTAGGTCGAGATTTTCTCGTAACGTCTTAACGATAGCGCGGCAATTATGTATGCCACCATCGTCGCCCCACGTCGGACATTGTGGCAACCATGTATGCCGCACCCATAACAACTATTTTTCGCATTTGCCCGATTTATTCCCGAGTTTTTTATGTTCACTCTATAGTCCATACGTCATCATTACCAAAGCACGCGTGGCTCACAGAATAACCAAATATTCCACAGTTCAAAAGAGGTTTCCGGACTTCACGGAAATATCCGTTCAGTTGTTCCCATTTCTTAAAGTGAACACGTTAGCGAAAAAGAGTAGTGGAAGTGAATACAAACCTAGTCGCATGGCAAGATGTGAGTTGTTACCGAAACAACCGCGTTCAGAATAATAATTTCGAAACCACTGAAGCGAAAGTATCAGGTCATCTCATTCAAACATGTGGAGACATCTAGTGAAATAGTGGGAAAAGTAGAAGAGCTAGAGCCTTCTGCTTCCTTCTGTTTTGAAGCTAGAATACCTGTCTACGGTATCCCCATTTAGTGTACATAGCCGCGGAAGGAAACATTTAAAAACACGAATGAATGTGAGGAACTGCCCAAATTGGATGTCATGTGGATTCACGTGGATGACTATTATGGCAATGGATGCCTGAGATGTCCTCGCAAGCATCTCTGTCTGGGAGAAAAAAATTCGTCGTTGCTCAAGGTATTGCTTGTTTCTTAGCGATCACATTGACAAATAAGTAGATACACAGTTGCAATAACGATATCATCATCAATGTCGACGCCAGACCCCAAATAGCTCATATTGCTTATGGGTGTTACAACAAACGGATATTCTGACTATCCTTATCCGCCGCATTTTCCCAACTACAGTCGTGCGCCCTCGGCCGTTTTGTCAATTTGAAGGCACGACTTGTTGGCAAGCGCTACGGCAACTCTTTGATCGTCGATACTGACATCAAGAGCATCTTGCCTATACTTGTTGAGAAAAATAAGCTGCTCGTTTTCAGTGTGTCCTGGACACTGGTATCGGGTCTTCAACAACGACGAGATCTGCGTGATTTAATACTAAAAAATTAGCTTTTTATCTTTTCTATTTTTCATTTTATTCAAATAAACCTTCCACATGTTTGAATGAGATGACGCAATGAATTAAAGTTGCTTTCTCGTAGCCACAACACATCATTTTGATCGAACATCCATTACTGTAACTCCAAAAGTTGAGCACATTGAACGTCAATGGAAACAATTTGTCGCGTACACATTTCGCGTATTTGCAGCACAAAATCCACGAATATGAGGTGGTGCGACAACGCCTGCAAAATCGCTCCGGTCTCGCGCGGCTAAAAAAGCTGAATCGCGCGATGTCATCGACGTGTGAGGGAGCCGTGTTGAAGCGCGCGCAACTTTGAGCCCACTCAGCGATGCGCCGTATGCCTCACATTCCTTCATACCAAAGACAAAATATCCGTCGGAAAACGTGCGAAGCTCGGATTCTTCACCCTTGTCGTAATAGATCAGTGATAGCTTAAATTACTGCGCGGATCCGTTTCAACCACGGAAACATTATGTGGGCGGACTATCGGTGTTATTGGAGATCTTCTGGCTAAGTTGCACAGCATCGACCACTCCTTGATGTTTCTCCTCTGATGATCTAATTGCATCAATCCGACCCAACCCCTTGTTCCTATCGGGTCAAATACTAGTCCTCCCCTTGTCGACTGTCGAGGATTCCTCAACGCACGCTTGACCGTGGGAGAGAGCCAGCGGCTGTTCGACTAGGGTCCGAATCTCCGATGACCTTACAGGCCACAGCGAGGAGGAAAAGATTTTCAAGTGTTTTTGCAACCTCCAACCACGGGAGAGTACGTAGGTCACCGCGGACCAGGAGAGTTGGGGCATAGGGTTTGATATTCATTTCAACGCGACGTGTTTCACTTCTTTGGGCTCTCTAACACTGCCGGCCTGAAGCGCACTTACCCGGTAAGCAACAGATGCGGGTAGTCCCGTCTGGGGCGAAAGTTTTGTCGACAACCCACCATTTCTGTAGGAGAAGATAATATGTGAACAACTCATGTGAAGTGCACTTTTGATAAGGACCGGTGGATGTCTACATTTCGCACATCCGCTTAATTTTTCGCCCCTGATCGTCCACCCCGGAACTTCCCCCCTCTTAGGCCTAGGCAAGATGTCCGTTCCCTCGGTTCGGGACCAT